TTGTCGGTCTTGTGAGGCAAAGGGGATCCAGTATGGTCCAGTTGTGGGGGTTGTTTGTCCATTTTGTCTGCAAGTGTTTTAGTCTTTCCGAGATTTTTGTCATGTTTGTGCGTTCGTATAGTAGTTGGTTGGAAGGGTTGTGCAGGGGGTTTTGGGGGTGTCTTATTCGTGTTATTAGTCTTAGTGCAATTTGTTCAGTTGTTTGTACGTGTCGTTTTGTCCTTTCTGTTCCGTTGGCCATGAGTATATGTCCGTAGTCCAAGAGGGGTCTGCAGATCGCTTTGTATATTTTTGTCGCGGCTTTGGTACTAATTCCTTTGTCTTTGTATGTTAGTGATCGAAAGTGTTTTGTTCTTTTTATCGTTTCTGTTCTGATGTTTCGTGTGTGTTTAGTGAATTTGAGTTTGTGGTCGATTGTTATCCCCCGTTTGTGGTCGATTGTTTTTTGTATTTTTTCAATTTGCTGAAAACTTTGGCTTGTTTGAGCTCCTGAGAAATTTGAGTGGACTGGAGCTTGATGAATTGAATGATGATGACACTAAATCTTCTTGTAGCTTCTTTTGGTTGGTGAATTTTCGAAATGTTAAAAGTGCGGTTAAAACATTAAAAGCTTCCTTTCCTACAAATTTTTTTAGAATTTGAAAAACCTGATGATTTTTGCTCAATTTGAGCTAAAGAGTGTCTAGAGGCTTACGCTTGGTCCGCTTCGAGCTGAATCTTCTTCTAGCCTTTTTAGTTGTTGAATTCTCGAAGTATTAAAAGTGCCTTTGAAATAGAAAAAGCTTCTTTTCCTACATAATTTTTAGAATTAGATAAACCTGATAAATTGGGATCGGTTTGAGCTGGCGATTGTCGAGAGATTTGCGCTTGGGACGTTTCGATCTAAATCTTCTTGTAGCTTCTTTTGGTTGACGAATTCTCGACGCATTAAAAGTGCTTTTGAAACAGCGAAAGCTTCTTTTCCTATATATTCTTTAAGAATTAGAAAAACATTTGAAATTTGGGTCGTTTGAGCTGACGATTGTCGAAAGATTTGCGCTTGCGACGTTTGGAGCTAAATCTTCTTGTAGCTTCTTTTGGTTGATAAATTCTTGAAGTGTTAAGAAGGCCTTTTAAACATAAAAAGCTTTCTTTCCGTGTCCTTTTTAGAATTAGAAAAATCGGGGATATTTGGGTCGATTTGCGCTGAAGAGTGTCGAGAGATTTGCGCTTGGGACGTTTCGAGCTAAGTCTTTTTGTAGCTTCTTTTCTTTGATGAATTTGCGAAGTGTTAAAAGTGCCTTTGAAACATAAAAAGCTTCCATTTCTACATATTTTTTTAGAATTAGTAAAACCTGGCAAATTTGGATCCATTTGAGCTGAAGAGTGTGGCGAGATTTGCGCTTGGAAAGTTTTGAGCTAAATCTTCTTGTAGCTTCTTTTGGTTGATAAATTCTCGAAGTATTAAAAGTGCCCTGGAAACACCAAAAACTTCTTTTGCTACATATTCTTTTAGAATTAGGAAAACCTGAGCAATTTGAGAGTCGATTTGAGCTGAAGAGTGTCGCAAGATTTGAGCTTGAGACGCTTCGAACGAAATCTTCTTGTAGCTTCTTTTGGTTGATGATTTCTCGTAGTGTTAAAAATGGCCTTGAAACACCAAAAGCTTCCTTTTCTACATATGTTTTTAGAATTAGAAAAATCTGGGAAATTTGGGTCGATTTGAGCTCAAGAGTGTCGCGAGATTTGCGCTTGAGACGCTTCGAGCTAAATCTTGTAGCTTCTTTTGGTTGATGAATTCTCGAAGTGTTAAAAGTGCCTTCGAAACATCAGAAGCTTCTTTGCCTATATATTATTTTATAATTAGAAAAGCCTGAGAAATTTGGGTCGATTTGAGCTGAAGAATATTAAGAGACTTGCGTTTGGGACGTTTTGTAAAAAAAACTCCTTGCAGCTCATTTCCATTGGGAATTCTGAAAAAGTTCTGAAAGTGGATTTCAAAGCCAAAAACATGATGTTTCCCACAATTTCTCAAAATTTGAAAAATCTAAGAAATTTTGGTAGATTTAAGCTGGAAAGTGTCTAGAGATCCGCGTTTGGAACATTTAGAGAAAAAACTGCATCTAGCCCCTTTTCCGAATTTTCCAGTTCTATAAATTTGATTTCAAAGACGAAAACATTATGTTTGTACCAATTTCTCAAACCTCGGAAAATGTTGGTCGTTGTCTTCCGCCTTGTACCCCTTTTCCCTTACCGAATTTGCAAGAAGATGAATTCCATAGATAAAAGCACCATTTTTCTCCCGATTTGTTTCTTTTTCTGAAACTTGAGAAATTTGTGTTGATTTGTGTGCCTAGCGATAGAAAAGTGATTAACTTTTGGGAAAATCTAAAATCCCCGAAATACTTAGGAGGTTTTGTGCTAAGTAGTGGTTGGGAACCCTTCAAGATGTATCGGGCTGTAGCCCCTTTATTTTGCCTTATTCAGCTGTGATTTCTGAAAAAACTGCCAATTTAGTCAAATTCAGGAAAGAAAATTCAATTCTTTTAGCCTTAGTTAGGTTTTTTATTTCGCGGTTTGCGATTCAAGCGTAGGAAAATGGAAATTTTTACTCGGCAAACCCTTGAAAGGTTGAAAATATATATGGAACTCCTGCAGCTGCACTTTCGGAGGCTTTCCCGCTAAGCTGAACGTCCTAATTTCGCCAGTTAAAAGCTTTTCTTAGAATTTCCCTGGGTAAAAACGAATAAGTCGCTATCTTTAGCGGTGGCAGCATTCGAACGGAGCGCGGAAGTTTCCAAATCCTCAATTGTTCCAACTGTTGTACTTGCGGATTTTTGCCCGATTTTTCCAAGTAAATTCATGAAAGCTCGTAATATTTGAGGAATTCAGGGGTTTGTAAATTGTGGTTTTTCATATCTCCAGTGTTATTTCCTGGGGTTTATCCGATTTGCCCGGCTTTCGATGTCGTTTCTTATCCTAATCTGTTTACTTCTGCAGGAAAAGTCGCCTGGTAATTCGCATAGATTTATCACTAAAGTGCTGCAGTGACATTATCCATCGTTACTCCTGGCCTCTAAGGAAATTGAAGTTCGCCGAATGCGAGCGTGAAAGCATCCCTAATCTCAAAGCCATTTCTTAGGACGGCAAAATGCCCTTTTCACGTGCCTCCATCCACCAAACCGCTACAAATTAAATTCCTCAAGATACTCTACTACGACGTTTCGGATTTATCAATGTCCATTTGTTTTTCCCGTGAAAACTCCTCAAGTTTTACTGATTTTCGCAATCTGACAACATTGATGGGCGCCAGCACACAACAAGCAAAATTGGCGCTAATTGAACGGTACTTTCGCATTGTTTCAATCGTAGGCAACAAGGAAAAGCCATGAAATAATTAATTTTAGTTGATTATCAGCAGTCGTAGCGTGCGCAACTGAATCAGTAGACATACTAGAAATGTGGGTTTCTTCACTAGAAAACTTTGATCGAATCCACTGTTTCAGGATGAACGATTCGAAATCCGCACAGAATCCGACTGTTTTCTCCATAGAGGATCCGCAGCCTGCAGTACGACTTACCGCACATCGGCGGCATGATTCTCGTAGGTAAGTTTTCGAAAAAAAAATAGTTTAAACCACTTCTGAAGCCCCAAAAAACAAACTTTTCACGGAAAAATCTGTTTGTAGCCTCGGGGTATCAGGGAACTTTTGGTATTCAAAACATGCGTTTCAAAGAGGTAAATCTGGTTTTTTTCCCGCGGTTTGAAGTTTGAAAATTAGCTTTCAATTGGGTTAGCTTTGAGATCAAAAAAATGTTGAATGGCTGTATCCTGAGAGTTTTCACGAAATTTTGGCTGTGGAAAACTGTGTTCAAAATTTCAATACCTTTGGGTTCTTCAGTTTGCGCGGGTTTGAAAAACGAACATTCCTGGCTTAATGCGGCTGTAGCCTCGGCGCTTTAAGAAACTTTCTGTAGGTATAAAAACACGCTTTCAAGATTAAATCTGTGCTCTTCAAGTTTTAAAATTTTGTCTTAATTGTGTCCGCTTTGAGGTGTGTGAGGAGGAAGTGTGGAGAGTGTCGAATATACAACTTTTCGAAGGTAATTCTTCCTGTATAAGCCTTCGCTACTAACAAACTGCATTCAAAAGACCAAAACTGGATGTTTCAAAATTGGATATTAATTGGGTTCGCTTTGAGATGAAGAGTGTGGAGAGTTTCGAAAAGCGAACATTTCTTAGGTAAATTTGGCTGTAGCTTTGCTGTTTTGGGAACTTTTTGCATTAGGAAACTGCGTGCAACAGATGAATACTTTCAAATTTATTATTTCTTTGTTATAAGTTCAACAAATTACATTTTTTTTTAAGCGGGTTTGTTTCGAAGTGAAGTTTGAAGGTTTTCAAAAGCAAATTTTCCTCGTTGTCTCAGGCCGTAGTTCAAGCGCCTTTATGCACATTTCGCATTTGATAACTGAAACTTGAAGAACGAAAGCTTGGCTTTTTGCGTGTTTTTGAAATTCTAAAATCGGTTAATAATTGGGCGTGTTGCGAGGAGAAAAGTGTGGCGGGTTTCAAAAAACTATAGAGTGTCCGCTTTAATCAGGGCGTAGTCTCAACGCCTTAGCCAACTTTCGTCACATAAAAACTGTGTTTCAACGAACTTTCGTCGCATAAAAACTATGTCGGAAAGCTGAAGAATTTCGCTTTCTTGGCATTTCAGAATAAAGAAAATCGCGCATTAATTATGTTTTTTTCGAAGTAATGAGTCTGAAGGTTTTCAAAACCCGCGAACATTGTTGGCTTTTACAGGCTGTAGTTCTAGCGCCTTTAAGGACATTTCGCACTTCAAAACGGCGTTTGGAAGACTGAAAACTTCCATTTTTTCGTATTTTTGAAATTCGAAAATTGGTTGATATTAGGCGCGTTGCGCAGAGAAGAGTGTGGAGGGTTTTTAAAAACGGAAGACACTGATTAAATCAGGCTGTAGTTTCAACGCCTTTACAAACTTTCATCGCCTAAAAACTGTGTTTCAAATGACTTGCTGACTGACTGGAAAACTTTGCTTTCTTGTCATTTTAGAATAAAGAAAATCGCGTATTAATTAAATTGTTTTCGAAGTAATGAGTCTGAAGGTTTTCAAAACGCGCAAACATTTCTGGTTTTGACAGGCTGTAGTTCTAGTGCCTTTAAGGACATTTCGCACTTCAAAACTGCGTTTGGAAGACTGGAAAGCTCGCTTTTCTCATGTTGCATGAAAAACTTCGCTTTCTTGGCATTTTACCACAAAGAAAATCGCTTATTAATTAAGTTTGTTTTTCGAAGTAATGAGTCTGAAGGTTTTCAAAACGCGCGAACTTTGCTGGGTAAGACAGGCCGTAGTTCTAGCACCTTTAAGGACATTTCGCGCTTAAAAACTGCGTTTGGAAGACTGAAAACTTCGCTTTTTTCGTGTTTCTGAAATTCTAAAATTGGTTGATAATTCGGCGCGCTGCGCAGAGAAGAGTGTGGCAGGTTCCAAAAAAGGAAAGTTCCTGATTACATCAGGCTGTAGTTCCAACGCCTTTACAAACTTTCGTCGCCTAAAAACTGTATTTGAAAGCTGAAAAACTTCGCTTTCTTGGCATTCCAGAACCAAAAAAATCACGCATTAATTAGGCTTTTTTTGGAAGTAATGAGTTTGAAAGTTTTCCAAACGCGAACTTTGCAAGTTTTCACAGGCCGTAGTTCTTGTGCCTTTGTGGAATTTTAGCATTTCAGACCTGTGTGTGGAACTTCTATTTTTTTGTGTTTTTCAAATCCGAAAATCGGTTGATAACTGGGGGCGTTGCGCAAATAAAAGTGTGGCGGGTTTCAAAAAAATATCGTGTCCGCTTAAATCAGGTCGTAGCCCTAACGCCTTAACAAACTTTGTGACAAAACTGAATAACTTCGCTTTCTTCGAGTTTCAGAATTGAGAAAATCGCACATTAATTAGGCTTTTTTGGAAGTAATGAGTTTGAAGGTTTTCAAAGCGCCAACTTTGCAAGTTTTCACAAGCCGTAGTTCTTGTGCTTGTGCATTTGAGAACTGTGGGTGGAAGATTGAAAAATTCGTTTTTTTTGTCTTTTTGAAATTCGAAAATCGGTTGTTAATTGAGCGTGCTGCGTGGAGAAAAGTGTGGCGGGTTCCAAAAAACGAACGTTCCTGGTTAAATCAGGGCGTAGTTAGAACACTTTTCCCGCAACTGAAAACTGTGTTTGAAAGCTGGAAAACTGAGGTTTCTGCACGATTGCGAAATTCTGAAATCCGGCTTGAACTACGCGTGTTTCGCGGTAAAGAGCTTGAAGCTTTCAAAAGCGGGCTTTCTTGAGTAAACCCGCCCGCAGCCTTTACCGCTTTACGAGCTTTCCATATGGAAACACTATATTCGAAAAACCGAAAGCTCTGCTTTTTTTAAGTTCTCGAAATTCAAAAATCGGCTCTTGATTAAACTCGTCCCAAGATAAATAGGGTGGAAGTTTTGAAAAAACGAACGTTTCTGGTTAAATCAGGCCGTAGTTCTACCAGATTTACGTACTTTTTGTATCTGAAAACTGCATCAAAAGCTTAAAAGCTCCACGGCCTTCACGGCTTAAAAAATAATTAAAAACACTTCTTGATTAGGCTCAATCCGAAGTAAGCAGTGCGGGCGGTTGCAAGAACTAAACTTTCCCGGTTAGATCCGGCCGCGGTTCCAGCATTAGTGGGAACTTCCAGCCTGCGTTCCAAAGCCAAAAACTTCTGTTTTATTGCCTTTTACTTACTACCTTTTACGTGCTTTTAAACCACTCTAAGGTGCGTATTGAAACGGAAAAATGCATAAAAGCATTGCAGTTAAAGCGCAAACATATAAAAATGTTCGCTTGAAGAAGAACATTTCCGGCCCATTCAGATTGATTGATATATTAATAAGCACGATCGGGAACACCTCCAAAGTCGATCAGCAGTCAGAGGGTGCAGGCTATTTTAATTCTATTAAATCGCTAATTTTAGCATCAAACTAATTAACAGGCGACTGCAGGGCAAACTTTTTAGCTTAATTAAGTGCAAATGTACTTTACACTTAATAATAAAAAATCTCCTCTGGAACCGATTAGGTTAGGGCCACCATGATAAAACCAGCCTTTCCCCACATAAATGGAAGCCGATCCTGGGGCCGTAGTAATTATTTTCGAAACATGATTAAAACCCAAAAATAGCTTTAGGCGCAAAGTGTCTGGGAGGGCTTGTAAGATTACAAGTATAATGAGATTACCCGTTGAAGCCTCCGCAGAATATTGATGAGCGTTATTTGTCATTTTATAACAGGATTCAGCGCAAATTAAAGCTCTTAATCTCATTTGGGTTATACGCGTGCAAGGCCACTCTCCACCACCCACAAACTACAACTTTTCATTTAGTTTAGTTTATCCCGTTGCCTCAATTCCTTGTCCAAGTTGGGAGGATTTTGAGGAAATGACTGTTGAGGCTTCGAAGGAGACGTTCAGTCTCCAAGTGCCTGCCATTGAGGTGGAGGAGAGTGAGGAGGATGAAGAGGACGATACGAACCGAGACAGTGGGTAGGGAAGGGTTGATCAAGCTTTCCTTAGAGTTTTAAGCTAATTTTCCGATCTGCTCAATCAACCAGATGCATTTCACTAAAAACCTTGAATTGGTTAAACAAAAACGAACACTGACTGATGTATTTTATTGGTAGATTGTTAAATTTGGCAAAAATCGGGCGCCACGTACAGTTTGACGCCAGTATGGTCGAAAAGCCGGTGACAAAATTAAAAAAGTGAGTTCAATGTTTGCTTGTTTGCTTCGTGAATTCCTGCAGAGGATTCTTGTGGCCCTTCACTAAATGTTCTGCCAGTTGTGTGCAATGTTCTGCTCCTGTTTTAGGTGGTTCTGCGTCAATTTTCCAGATTTTCCGACTGGCAAATCAGCACTAATTTATGTTTTTTTTTTCAGGTAAGTGCCTGTGTGTTTTCCTAGTAAGTAGGCCAACTATTAAGCTCCATAACCAAAAATGCGCCCATTCAATTCCATCACCTAATCAGTGTCTTAGCTTAAATGTTTCCCGTCCATGCTGTTGTTGCTGTCTGGATCTTAAGCTGCTGGTAAGACTCTGAAAACCCTCCAAAACTGTGTTTAATTTTTGGATGTTTTAGGCCCCGAACTGCTGGACAATGGTTGATCTCCTGATGACCACTTCAGACAGGTGAGTTAAAGTTTCCAATCGCAAAAAAAATAGTATCCTGCGCGCATCATTATTCCCAGTTTCACTTTGAGTAGTTCCTCATCATTCTTGAGTTAAACGTTTACCTGTTCGTATTTGTCCTGCTAGTTCTTCGGCAGGGCGCAGGATCAACGTCGATTCACACGATTCCTATCACGAGATCAGCAGCAGGCAGTGTTGTCGACCTCAACGTTAGCTCCAGTTCGTCGGTGTTTCCAGAGGTGAAACTCAGCGCGCGAGTTTTCAGTGTTTCCGGTAAAAAGGGTGACTTTTCCCCCGGTGGGTTCCACAGCAATCGCTCGGGGTGCTCGAGGTTGAATCGGGTTCCTGCAACTACAGGTACAGAGTGAAACTATCCAGATTGGCAGGGAAACACATTTTCCATTAAGGGGCTTTTACCTAAATTGTTTGCACTGGGGTTTCAATAGAAACTTTTGAAAAACTCTTTTAGCGCCTGGAAATGGTAATCTAGGGAAGCGTGTTCCATTTTAATTTCCAAGCCTTTTCAGTTTCAGGCTTTGGATTTTGCTAAAGTGTCTTTCCACTTCTCATTGGCTTTATGTTGATTTTTTGGTCCTTTGCACTCTTTTCACATTCTGCATTGTAGAATGTTTCCTGGTTTTTCAGCCGATTTTCAGTTTCCAGCTTTTCTCAGATTTTTCAACGTTATTTATTTTTTCTGATTCTTCTACGTTCTCTTTGACTTAAGTTGCAAAAGTTTTTCCTTTCTTCCTTCATTTTATTTGCACTTGTTCCCAGCTACTTCATCATCGATCAATCGCAGTTAAAGTTTTCATTATCCGACTGTTTTTTCGGTCTATCTCTCAGTTTGTGTTTTCTCCTTTCGTTCTGTTATTTTCATTGGCACTTTGTCTTAATTTTTTTCTTGTCGTTTGTTGCTGAAGTGTTTTTTGTACAATTTCCATGTTCTGTCTGTGGTTGTGTGTTTCTCAGCCGCATTTGAACGTTTCAATTGCTTGGAGAAGCAAGATTGAATAATTTCTTCAGTCCGTTTGTCTCCTTCTTCGCTTTATCGCTAAAAAAAATATATTTGAAAGAATTAAAAGTTGAAGTGAAAGAAAAATTTACAAAGACACGAAAACGTCGTTTACGTCCAAAAGGTTTTCCTTTTTATTGAGCATTTGAAAGTTCACTGACAAATTTTCAAGAAAAATTCACAAAAACACGAAAACGTCGGTAACGTCCAAAAAGGAAAAGAGTCTAAATCCTAGAGGCAAAAAAGGTTTAAGATTGAAAGTTCTCCAAAAATTAACTAACAAAACCGAGCAAAATGTGTCTTAAGCCGTTTTTTTTCGTGCATTTTTTCACGCCTTAATGTTTCTTAAGTGTCTTTCATCTCATTGGCTTTATATTGATTTTTTTGTTCCTTTGCACTCTTTTCACATTCTGCATTGAAGAAAATTTTCATGTTTTTCAGCCGATTTTCGATTTCGATCGTTGCTTCAGATTTTGCCCCGCTATTTCTTCTCTTTAATTATTATTCCACGTTTTCTTGCCCTAAAGTTGCAAAAGTTTTTCAGTTCTTTCTTCATTTTTTTGCACCATATCCTTCCCGATCGATCAGTCTCTGTTGAATATTTCATCACCCGACTGTTTTTTCGGTCTATTTCTCGTCTTATGTTTTCTTCCTTCTATTATTTCCTATTTCCATTAGAACATTGTCCCAGTATTATTTTGTTGTTCGTTGCTAAAGTGTTTTGCTTCTTTGGCTTATTAAAGCCAAAAGTTTTCTGCGGTTGTGTGTTTTTCAGTCGTTTTTCCACCTTTGAATTGATTAGAGTCTCAAAATTGAATCCTTTCTCTTGTCCATTTGCACTCGTTTCTTTTCGTGTTATTCGTTGTAGACTATTTTATGTCCTTTCAGTCAATTGTAAGTTTTGACCATTTTTTCAGACTTTTCAACTTTATTTGTGTATTTGCACAATCGTGCTTGATTCTTTTACCCGACGATTTTTCTCTGTTTTTTGCCTTCAGCTGGAACACTGTTTTAAGTTTTTTTCATATTTTTTTTTAATCAGCTTCACTCGTGGGCGTTCAAAAGGAAACGAGTTTAAATCTTTGAAGCAAAAGAGTTTTTAAGATGAAAAGTTATTCACTGAAGAAACCGAGCAACGTTTATCTGAAATATTTTCTTTTAGTCTTTTGAAGTCCCAAAGTGGCTTTTCGTCACTGGATTTTTGTTGAATTTTTTGGTCGTTAGAACTTCTTTCACATTCTTCATTTGTAGAATGTTTCCAGGTCTTTTTTTTCATTCAGATTTTCCAATGTTATTTGTGATTGGTGGGATTTTATTAACTCAATCGTGTTTGTTTTTTTCTGGGAGACTTTTCTCTGTGCTTGGCCTACAGTTGCAAAAGTATTTTCAGTCAGTTGAATTTTCAATTATCTGACTGAGTTTTTGGGCGTTTTCTCGTTCTGTGGTTTGGCCGTTCTTTCCGCTATGTTGCCTAAGCACTTTATTTTAATATTTTTCCTGTTGTTGGTTTGCTGGAGCGTTTTCCTCTTGTTTTTGCACACTTTCTTTGCTTTGCCTGTCCTTGTAAATTTTTCAGTCGCTTGTTTCTTTTTCAGCCTTGTCGTTAAAACACCAAAAAATTTAATCCCAAAGAGTTAAATGAAATGAATAGATGAGTTCTGAATTTCCGTCTCAATTGACTTAAAACCGCTTCACTCTCTCTCAAGGATTTAGGCCCGTATTTATAAACGTTGCTCAAGCATGAGTCGAGTCTCGATAGTACGATAAAGTACGATGTAAGTACGATACTTGGCTTCGATTGCGATTTATAAACGATTCTCATTCTCAAGCCAGTGCTTACAGCCTTGCTTGAGACCCATACTTGAGGTATCGGTCGACGGTGGCTTGAGTATTGCTTCTGCCCAGCCATTGGTCGAGATTTTTCGTTGAACCGCCAAACGGTTGTTAAGGTTATATTATTGTTTATGTTATGTTTTTACATTTTAATTTTTTGATTTTGCTATCGTATACAATATAAGAATGGACAAGGTTTTGAATATTTGGACGTAATAGAGGAGGAAATAAACGAAGATCAACGTGTTAGTAAAATATATATACGAGATGGCAAAAATCCGAGTTTTTGTCGCATGTAGAATTTCGCAAAAGTTTTCGGTTTTCAAAGGCCACTATTATTGAGATGATATTACCTTTTGATAATCGTGGACTACCAATATCAAATATCACCCATTACTCAATTGCTGGTATGTTCAAGATTCTATACAAGTAGTTTTCTATTCTAGAAATTCTAAACAACAAGTAGCAATGTTTCTATGATTCCATGTCTACTTTCTTACATAAAGTGTATATTATATTGTAGCTTGTGTCCGGTAATCTTCGTGATCATCGCCAGTCCTGCAGCGGTTCAAAAGACATATTTACATAATAACATTGACGCCATCTTAGATTCGCCAAGTTCGCCAATAGTCCCAATATAAAATTACCAAATAAATACGAAAGTCCCTATACATCTATACTCGACCGATACTTCGCCGAGAATTCACGAAGTACTGTTTATAAGTCGTCTCTCTTGCTTGAAAACGATCTACTTGGCCAAGCATGAGCTGAGTATCGGCTTGAGTATCGTTTATAAATATGGGCCTAAATCCTTGAGGCCAAAGAACTTTTTAACATTGAAACTCAAAAAACAACTGATGAAGCCGAGCAAAGTGTATCTTAATCATTTTTTACGGTTTTAATGGAATTTTGTGGATTTTTTCACGTGCTAAAGTCACAAAGCTTCACGCGCCTGAAAGCATAATGAAAATGCCACTCGACATGGAAAATTCCGTGTTGCAGCAGGAAAAGGGCAGGGATCTTGAAAGCTCATGACTGCAAAAGCAGTGCGAAGCTTTCAACTGAGCGAGTTTTTCTCATTTGCCATTTTAATTAATAAATCCAGAGGCTTAATGAAGCCGCTATATGAACGATAAATCCGTCATTAATAAAATGACGTGATAACTGCGGCCTTTATCACCAGGCGGGCCTTAATGGGATCACGATTATCAGCAATCGGATTAGTTAATTCGCCGCTTAATTGAAAACGTAACGATGCTTAATGTTGGGCGGCAAGGAAATATTGCTGGCAGATTTTCCCAGTTATCGGTCAATCCGAACAGTACGTTGAATGTTTTTGCAAAAAAGCCCCATTAATTACCTGACTGGTTCGTACTGTATTTCATGGGGTTTTGAAATAAGCTTTCATTGGAGCGGGTGGGCCTTTTCTTGACCGCACCGCGTATCTGCCAGACGTCGCTTCTACACCAGCCAATCAAAGCGCGACGTCTGAATGGGCAAGGGACCATCAGCACCAATTAATGCCAATTTATTTGATTTCTCTTTGCCTGCAACTCGGTGTTTGACATCGTACGCTAAAGATTTCGCATTCGAAATTGCCGAATTGGAAACGACCCAGTTTCATGATGGATAATGTGCGCGGTAACGTACAATAAGGGCGGATTTGCCTACAGTATTAATATTTCAGATTCCCTGAAACGTTAAGGCCCTTAGGGCATAGTGGCTGCGTCAACGGTAGAATACGAAGTGGATTTAACTATGGATAAGCCATTAAGTCTTCTGGGTAATCAAGGGGATGTTGTAGGGAAAATTGAATTTTTCTTGTGCCATTGATGTGAATGTGCCGCTTGGAAACTGGCGACATAAAGCGTAAATTTCGCACGTAACAACAAAAACTTTTGGCTTTTAGCCAAGGGTTTGGCTCCATTATAATTAAGGCGTAGAGCAATGCGCTGCTGATGTTTTCCCAAATGGAGTAATTGCTTTGTTGGCTCTGTGTTTTCGATGTTTCCCGAATGTTCGGTTCGCTGAGCGATTTTTCCTAATTCGGCCGAATTTTATTAATAAATTCCATTTAATTGAAAAGCGCCCACGATGACAGTAATTTATATTCAAAATATTCGCCAATTTAAATGCTAATTTACTGAATGCC